GCTAAGTCACTGCTTTGCTGGGTTAAAAGCAGGCTTATAGGCAGACATGATATGATAAGACATTCATTAATGTTCTGAGGGAAGGGCAACATTTCCTTGTGACAGGGAGGTTGCTTCACTGCTTTCATTTCAGACAACCATGTGTACACCTAGCAGAGCAATGACACTGCAGCAAATGTTGGAGTAGTGCAAGTGAATGTAGGCATTTTCTAATCAAACTGTTCAGAGATGTTATTACACACCTCTGGAGCAGGTGGGATCTGAACCCAGGTCTCCTGGTTCGGAGGCAGGGGCAGTATCACTCAACCACAAGAGCCCCCTGCAAGTGCATATACATGTGTATGTTCTCTTGTCAATAATGAAATGCCCATGCCTCTGAGGTGTCCTCAGAATGATTTCTAATTCCTTTTCCTATCACTACACCTAAGTGCAAGGCTGACAACTGGAGCTGGGGTAGAGAGAGAGCCTGCTGATTGGTTTGCTGTGGTGTCATTGAAGACTTTTGGTTTGCATTCTCTGGGTGTTCAGTGCGTAGAAAGTCCTGGGCTGGTGAACTTCTGCATAAATGCAAGTGCTCACTCCTTAACCAGTTCTGCTGCAAGCAGTGGGATTACTGGCAGAAGGGAGCTGGATGGAAAAGGCACCTTGCAGTGTCATGAGATGAAGCTCCTGGAGTACCTACCTGTCACTTTCTCTGCCTGTGTGCTTATTTCCTGAGCCCACGAGGGCAATCTTGACTATGGAGGCAGAGTAAAAACTTGCAATTGCTTATCTTTTTTGAATTGCATGTGTTTAATATGTTTTAATAACATTCTTACCTACAGCTCTTACCCTGTGCAAAAAGGTCCTCTACTAGATGAGCAGGAGGTGCAAGCTATTGGGTTAAGTGTTGATAGACTAACCCTATTGGGTCGCATTTCCTTGGCCCGAGTCATCATTGAAACACTAAAACTCCCTCCTGACAGCACTCAAACAACACCAAAACAAAAAGGAAGTAGTGGAAAACCACCTCGACCAGTCCCTGGAAGAAAATGGTAATTTATGAAATATTGCAGCATGTATGGTTATCAATTTTGCTTCTGAAATTATAAAAATGTATGCATTTGTGACGAACTAGAATGATCTATTGTCCTTGCGGTCTCAGATTGATTCATTTACCAACATTTTTTCTTTCTGAATCAGTAGGTTTGGTTCAACCTTCACTCGAAAATGTTCAGTGCTCCCATATACAGCTAAAGGACTGCTGCATCATCATAGCTGCAGTCTCTTCGTATTTGAGGGAATGGATGTTTAATGGTGATGGATGGGTTGTTGATCAAAAGGACTGCTTTGTTCTGCACAGTGTTGAACTGTTAAGTGGTTTTGAAGCTGCAGTCATAGTGGCAAATGGAGAGGATTCCAGACTTTTGCCTTGTAGGCAGTAAAGAAGTTTTGGAGTGACAGATGAGCCATGCAGTGCAGAATTCCCAGCCTCTTGTCAGGTCTAGTAGCCACTGCATTTTTATGGCTAGTTTAATGAAGTTTCTGATCATTGGTGACTCCCAGGAAGTTACTAGAATGTTGCATATTGGTAATGCTAATGTATGTAATGGGGAAATGGGTAGCTGCCTCTTCTTGGACATTGTTTAGTATTTGTCTGATAATCAGTGTGAAGGTGTCCATATAAATGCAAATTCTTCTTTTCGCACCATTTCAGGGTCAGTTCAATGTTAGGATAGGTGGCCCCATGACTTGTGTTATTATTCATTCAGAGAATGTGGGAATTGCTGACTATGCTAGCATTTATAACTGATCCCAAGTTATTCTTGTAAGGATGCCAGTGAGCTGCCACCTTGAAATGAATTAGAATTAGCGTTTTTTGTCATATATTCAAGTGAGTATAATGAAAAGTTTACAGTTGTTACATTACCTAGGTACAGAGGCTTAAGATCAAATTCTTAGGAAACAAAAGAAAATAGAAATGTAAAGAAATAAATAGTCCGGCGTTTTAGGTCATCAGAATAAATTAGAAAAATAAAGAAGTAAAAAATTCAGAATATCAGTCTTTCCGACCCAGTCCATGCTGGCACATAGCCTCAAGGGAGACCTCCATTGCCTTGCTGCCTCCTGCTCCACACCCACCAATGTAGGAGTCACCCCATTTTAGTCACCATCTCTTCACCGTAGGGCCCACTTCACTGACCCTGCTGAACCCACACTTGCCCACTACCAAGAATCTGTGGTTCTGCTGCCAGGCCAGGCCAGGCCAGGCTGCCGCCAGGGCACATGTCCTGTTTGGCTGCAGATGTCACCTTGCAGTGCCATCTTGAAGATCCTGCTGCCCCCGACACCGTTGTACCATATAGGTGTAGGAGCTTTGCTGCCACCAAACAGCAGGAGAATGACCTCGCAGCTGCTCTCACAGGCCTCGAATGGCAGGAGAATGCACTCACTGCTGTTTGCCTCCTATCACCAGGAGAACATCCTCATTGCCACCGCCTCCTATTGCCATGTCCGCCACTCTGCATGCGGTCCGCACTTGCTACTGCACCGGTGCTGCCAACCAACCCGCCACAGAAAAGAAGAAGAAAAAGACCAAAAGAAAAGAGCAGAAGCAAAAGTAAAAAAAAGAAGGGAGGCAGATTGGAGATGGACCCTGGGCAAGAGCCTGCGTGCAGCCCTTTACTCTGTGCCATCTGGCACTGGAGTAACTGCTGCAGTGGTGTAGCTATACCCACAGTGTTGATGGAAAGTCTGGGTTCCAAAATTTTGATCCAATGACAGTGAAGGAATGGTGATATAGTTCCAAATCAGGGTGCCACGCGGCTCGGAGGGGAACCATATGCCTGCTGCCCTTTTCTTCTAGATGGCAGAGTTTGTGGTTTTGGAAGATACCGTTCAAGAATGTAGCATCATTAGTGGATAATGATATTAGATTTTTGAATGGCATTCCTTAATTTTGTGTTTTTGTCTTATTAACATAAACTAATCCATTAATCAGTTTCATTTGTAGGCTAGGAGGCTGAAGCAATAACAGGGACTCTACTTTGCTATCCAGATTTTTTTGTGGGTTGTAGAAGTAGTATGTTCTGCATAGATATTTGGACATTGAATGGATGTGCCCACAGTTGAAAGCAAGGAAGTGTGATAGAGGTGTAGGGAGGATGTCCTTGACTTTGGGTCCTTTTCCACTGAAGTCATGGCCAATGTTGGAGCAATTAAAATCATGGATT